CCCCCATGGCCCCCACGGCCCCCATGGCCCCCTCGACCCCCACGGCCCCCATGGCCCCCACGGCCCCACGGCCCCCACAGCCACCCTGGACCTCCAGCACCGGGTCCAGGCCCTTCACCATGTCTGATCACAGAGGAGGCCGGAGCGGGGACTGGCCTAGCAGTGAGCGAGCCGGCCTACACGGGGTCGCTCAGCCTGCCTGCCTGGCTGCCTCCACAGAGCCTGTGGCTGTCTCCATCTTCGGCCCTGCTAGGGCCGCGCCACCCTGCTGCCCCCGAGCCCCCAGACCCACACCGGCGGGGTTGGAGTCTGCTCTTGCCTCCGTTAGAAGTTGAGCCGCATGAATATTCTGGTTTTCATTTACGCTGCCGTGGAGCCTGCGCTCTCCCAGGGCTTCTAATCAGCAGCAGCGCCCGCGGCAAGAGCTGACTGACAGGCTGGCGTGGCCACTGCTGAGGGCCGCGGCCCGCAGCTCCACGCACAAAGCGCTGGGAGCTGGTCATCCATGAGCCTGAGTGCCTGCTTCCTGCGTGGGGCACTGAACACCTGCAGGTCATGGGGGGCCCAGCTTGGCTTACTTGTTACTTTGTTCAGAAAGTCATTGAAATTGAAGTCAGCTGAGGCCTGGCACAACAGATTCCTCACCTTGTGTCCCTTGTATCTGTGTCTGTGCTGTCCAGTGAGGCAGGACATGGGACACAGGTGTGGTTTGGGAATTGGGGGGCCAAGATGGTGGCCAGAGGTGCTGATTAAGAAGTGGGCAGAGGTAGGCTGGCCAGAGGGCATCTCTCCTGGCCCTGGAGTGGTGACAGACAGACCAGCATGGGGTCGGATGCCAGGTTACCGCTGCCCGCGTGCAGGGAACAGACGGAGGGGACGGGGCATCAGGGCTAGGCCCAGCAGCTCCTGGCTGTGGCCGGACAGAGGAGTTGGTTCCGCCGAGGTACCCTGCTCTGCACACTGACAGCCTCTGGATTTCTGGGCCAGAGAGCGCAGTCTCTGGCGGACACTCACAAGGTGGCCTATCCTCCCAGAGGGAGCCAGCCAGCCTGTGGAGTTTACTCACGGAAGCGTGCCCCTCTCTCCCTGTCTCTCTCTCAGATTATTTGTTTGAAAGGTAGAATATACACAGAGAGGGACAGAGATCTTATATCCACCGGTTCACTCCCCAAATGGCCAGAGCTGACTTGATCCGAAGCCAGGAGCCAGGAGCCTCTTTGGATCTCTCATGTAGATTGGAAGTGGAGTGGCTGGGATTTGAACTAGCATCATATGGAAAGCCAGTGTCACAGACAGCTGTTTTACCTGCCATGCCACAGTCAGCCTTCCCCTCTACCAAGAAGCCCTGACCCAAAGCAGGGTGCTGGGTCCCTCCTTCCCTGGACACCCCAGGCCCAGGTGCTGGGCCCCATAGCAAGCCCACCACGCTGCTTGCTCACAGCCCCGGCTCACCCAGGGCCACTGCCGGCACCTTCAAGGAGCCCCCTGCCTGCTTCCCCGACCCCACCTATCTGGACTGTGAGGTCATGGTGGATGGAAGGCACTGCCAGGGCTCCGGCATGCTGTGGCAGGTCAGCATGCTGTTCTCTGGCTGAACAGTGTCCACCATGGGCTGGCACGTCCCTTTGCCCATTTGAGCACCCTGCCTCAGCCACATGTACCTTCCTGGCTGCACCCAGGGTGAGCACTTTGCCTCGGGGTGCTGCTGGACAGTCTGACGGCCACAGAGCTCTGCACAGCGGCCAGCCAAGATGACGCACCTGTCCCGGGGTGGACAGTGGTTCCTGAGAGGACATGGATCTAGTTCCCTGCTGGGTACCATGTCGGCCTGCAGGCTGAAGGTTTCCAAGTCGCAGAACCCTGTATTGGCAAGCGCGCTGTTCCTGGCGGCTGCAAGCAGGGATCCCTCCCGGCAGACCGGCTCACGGTCAGAGAGGTGCTAGGGGCTGGAGTGGAAAAGTAGTGTCCCTGGCCCCACCCAACAGGAGCCCCTCTTCTGATCGAAGCAATGCCATCTACGAGTGCTGAGATGGCCACACATGTGGCCAATCAGAGCTGCCACAGACCGAGGAACAGCCTGACGAACACATTAGCATGTGATGTGTGCACGGGGTGTGTGTGACGTGTTTATGGGGTGTGAGATATGTACACGGGGTGTGTGTGACGTGTTCATGGGGTGTGAGACATGTACATGGGGTGTGTGTGATGTGTACACGGGGTGTGTGTGACGTGTGCACAGCATGTGTGACGTGTGCACGGGGTGTGTGATGTGTGCACAGCATGTGTGAGACATGTGCATGGGGTGTGTGTGACATGTACATGGGGTGTGAGACATGTGTAGGGGGTGTGTGAGACATGTACATGGGATGTGTGATGTGTGCACAGCATGTGTGAGACGTGTGCACAGGGTTGTATGACATGTACACAGTGTGTGTGACGTGTGCACGATGTGTGTGACGTGTGCACGATGTGTGTGACATGTACATGGTGTGTGTGTGATGTGTGCACAGTGTGTGTGAGACGTGTGCACAGTGTGTGTGTGACGTGTGCACAGTGTGTGTGAGACATGTGCACAGTGTGTGTGAGACGTGTGCAGTGTGTGTGACATGTACATGGTGTGTGTGACGTGTGCACAGCATGTGTGTGACATGTGCACGGCATGTGTGTGACATGTACACAGGGTGTGTGAGATGTGTACACAGCATGTGTGAGACGTGTGCACAGGGTTGTGTGACGTGTGCACAGTGTGTGTGACGTGTGCACGGGGTTGTGTCGTGATTGTGTATGGACGTTGTGCAGTGCAGCAAGGTATGCACACCACTGTGCTGTGACATATTTGTTGCCATCTGTGCTGGAAGTATACACACAGTTGGATGTGTCTGTGCGTCTGCTGAGCACACGTGCAGGGTTACAGCACACACACGTGACTAGTGTTGTTAGAGTATTGGTATAATGTTAGTACGCTAAAATGTTAATATTAGTGTTAGGTGATATTAGGCCCTTTTGGGTGAGAAGCCACTACTTCGCTAGGTCAGAAGGCGCCTGCACTGTGGGAAAGCTCCACTTTAGTGATCAATCTGCTTCCCTTGTTTCTTTATCTACCATCTAACCCAGGTACAGGAAGGCAGGGGCACAGTTCCCCGGCCCAGGGACGGGAGGAGCCATAAAAGACTGGAGGAGCCATAAAGACAAGGGTGTCAGGATGGGGTGAGCTGTAAATAATAAGTGTAGGAGCATAAACAATAAGTGTGGGAACGTAAATAATGAGTGTGAGAACGGAACAGACTGCTTGCACCTAAATTTGTTACTTTTGAGTTGACTTTGACCTATGTTACAGCCAAGACGAGGTATATAATCTCCAGCCTTATGTTAAGTCAGGGTCCGATCCGCTTGGCTGGCCTGTGTGCCCCAAGCACGATCTGACCCCAGCATGCTGGCACAATAAACTCTGTTTGCTTTTTGCATTACCAGCAAGACTCTGTCGTTTTCTGGGGGTTGACTAGCTCGCACCTAATGTCCGGATGGGGAGCTCTGGCCTGGACTCTAACAGTGTGTGTGCAGCAGGGGTGTCTGCTGCCACGGTCAAGAGTCTTTGATCCCTCCTGAGGTGAAGATTCTCTGCTGGGTGAGGAGCCACCCAGCACCAGCACCCCCAGGGGAGGCAGCACCAGCCCCCCGGCTGAGGAGCCAGGGTCCCCCACGCAGCGCCAGCCCTGGAGGGGACGCTCTCAGAGGGCCTCAGGGCTCTGCGTCCGTGGTTCCTGCTAGGTGTCTCTGTACCCACCTGCAGCTGGGGGTGCCGTCAGCGTTCCAGGGCCAAGCTTGTCTTGGTGAGGTGCCCTCCAACAAGGGCATCCAGGAAACACCCGCTGTTAATTACCAATTAATGAAGCAGTTTCAATTACCAGCATTCCCCCGCCCCCTGCCGACCACAGCTGACTCCCGGCCAGCAGCCGCCTTCCTCAATATTCATACAGGCACAGACGCAGCTTCTCCTGCCCTGCCCAATCAGGTGCGGTGGTCCAAGGCCCACCCAGGCGGGGTCCCCAGAGGGGAGAGGCGCAGGCTGCAGCTGAAGGACCGGGGGAGCAAACGCCGGGCCCGGGCAGGGGAACCGGCCCAGGCAGGACGGCTGCAGCTCCTGAGAGGTGCCCACAGGTTACAGAAAAGTGACTGAGGGCGCTCAGGAGGGGACGGCCCTGTGCACCAGAGGGCGTGGGAGGGCCTGGGGGACCTCAGTGGGAGGGCCTGGGGGGGAGGGCCTGGGGGGACCTCAGTAGGAGGGCCTGGGGGGGAGTTCTGAGGGCCCTCGGTGGCCATGGCCTTAGTTTTGGGAGCCGAGTTCTTGAGCTGGACATGATGCTGTCCACCCATGGCGTGACGTACTTACTACCCCAACACGGAGCATGACACAGGCCCCTCCCTTATTTGCAGCCTTGGGGGGTGGGCAGGTGGGCAGGGGGACAGGAGCTGGTGCACAGGACCCTGGTACCTGCAGGTGCTGGGCTCCTTGACCAGGAACCCCCGACCTGCACTCAGCCAACCAGGTGCCCTGGAGGCCTGCAGCAAGGCCATCCTGAATTGTGACCCGGCCACGATGGGGCGTCCCCCGCTGCCACAGGCTGTGCTGGACTCTGGTCAGGACTCAGGGTGGATGCCGGCTGCTGCAGGGTAGGTGCTTCCGGGGCACCCACGACCGTGTGGAGAGCCAGGCCTCTTGGCCTCCCATCCAGCTCTCGCTGATGCCTCCCAGGGCAGGGCTGCGGGCGAGGCCCAGGTGGGGGGGCTGCCGGCGATGGCCTAGGTGGGGGGCTCCCGTGGCCCAGGTGGGGGGCTCCCGTGGCCCAGGCGGGGGGCTCCCGTGGCCAGGACCAGGTGGGGGACTCCCGTGGCCTGGCCACCATGGGCATTTGGAAAACGAGTGAGCAGGCAGACAGCTCCCTTCTGTTCACTCCCTGTCTGGGGAACTGAAGGTGCCACTCCGCAGCTCACCTGCCAGCCACCACGGTTGCCCGCTCTGGAAAGTTCCATGGAGAATGGACAGCAAGCCCCCTGGGGGCCCCTCCCCGCCCTCCCTGCCCCTGGCTGGACCCTGGCTGGCTTCCTGAGTGCGCCACATGAAGTCTTCCACAAGTACCCATCTTAGCAGACTTCTTCATTGATTTGCAAAGCAGGGAAAAGAAACCTCACACCCATCAGGGCTGGGCTCAGGCTAAAGCCAGGAGCCTGGAGCTCCTTCTGGGCCTCCCACGTAGGTGCAGGGGCCCAAGCGCTCGAGCCATCACCCACTGAGCCCCAGGACACGTGAGAGCAAGGACTGGGTCCTGAGTGCAGGAGCTGGGACTTGAACTCAGGCCCTTCATTAACCACTGAGTGCACGAGGGTTAGCCCAATGCACCCTCTTTCCTCAACAATGGAGCAGTAGCCGCCACTAAGCAAGGCTCCCTGCAGTGCCCTGGCAGTGCCCGCTGCCCATCCATGAGGCCAACGGCTTCTTGGTGTGAGCGACAGTGCAGACGATGCCAGGGGAGGGGTGCAGAGCCAAGGCCCCCCATAGGTGCCGGAGGGGTGTCCAGGTCTGCTCAGGACACAGCTGCTGGCGGGGGAGGGGAAATTCACAGGATGGGGTTGGGGTCCCTGCAGCCACTGGCTACCCTCTGGCCTGGGGTCGGGGGTAGTTCCTCAGGCCAGCAGCCAGGAAGAGCTGCCTGGGTGTCCAGCAGCAGTAGTGCCCACTCAGGCCCCGTGGTCATGCCAGTCTTGCAAGAAGGGTGGGGCCACTACAGGTGGGGAGACTGAGGCACAGGCAAGGCCAGTTTGGGCTTCCACATCCGCCTTGGCTCTTCTGGGGGAGCCTTTGCCGCCAAGTCTCTGGGAGGGCCCTGGAGGCACGGGGCTACAAGTCTTGCCAGGAAGGGCCCAGGTCAATCCTATGGGCTTGTCCGAAGGCCAGGAAGCTGCACAAGCCCAGGGCGTTGACTGCCGCCCCCAGGTGGAAGAGGCTGGCCCAGGAGCCCGTGCTCTCAATCAGGTATCCGCTCACATACACGCCCAGCACACCTGCCGGGAGAGACCAAGGGAGTGCCCCACGGCCCACACTGCCACGAGCTCCCAGCCGAGCACAGAAACCCAAGGGGAGTCAGGACCAGGCTCGGAGGGCCCAGTGTCCTCCCTCCCCAGGGGCTGGGGCCCTCAGGCAAGCCCGGGATCCAGGCTCAACAGACCCTCAGCCCCTGGGCGGGCTGCCACCACCCACGCCCTGGCCTGTCTCCTGGGGGACTCAGACTCCACGGGCAGAGGCAGCCTTGGGCACAGAGAGCACGTCTTACCTGCCAGGGCCCCAGCTGTGTTGGCCACACCTGTGGACAGGCCAGAGCAAAGACAGTGGGTCAGAGAACATTGTGGGGTGCCGGGGGCAGGACGGATCACAGCTGGAGGGGGAGAGAACCTCACCGAAGAGAAAGCCGGCATAGGACGGGGCCAGGTCCTGGACGTTCACTGAGATGCCGCTGTGGGGAAGCAGACGGGGCCGGCGGTCACGGGCAGGGGACGGAGGGGGACGGGGCCGGCGGTCACGGGCAGGGGACGGAGAGTGGGCCCGGCGGCCAGAGGCAGGGGATGGAGAGGGGGATGTGGCTAAGGCTGGGAGAAGCCACAGCCTGGGGAAGGGTCCTATAGTGGCTGGCTCCTCAGCCCTGTCCCGCCTCTGGTCCCTGGGCAGCACGGGTGGCTGGCTGTTACCTATGGTTGAAGGTCTGCAGGCCAATCGAGGCTGTGGCAAAGGCCACAGAGGAGAAGAAGCTGCGGCTGTGTCCCACACCTAGCCCACAGACGCTGGACAGGCCGAGACCCAACACCTGCAAGAGGGTCGGTCATCAGGGAAGCTGGGCTGGGGTCATATGGCCGGTGTGGGGGTGACCAATGGTCCTGGTGCAGGGTGCAGGGCAGTGTCGGGTCCTAGCGTGGGCTCATGGGGTGGGAGCTGCCCACAGAGGCCCTGGCGTCCCCCTACCTGCATGAGTTTCCGCACTGTGATGGTTCTGTAACCTGGTGAGAGACGGAGTTGGAAGGGAGGCTGCCCATCGGCCCAGCTGCTCCGGCCGTCCATGGCAGGGAGGGACAGGGCTCCCTCTGGCAGCCACAGCCTGTGCGTGTGCAGGCCTGAGGCACCGGGTGGGCTTATGGCTGAAACAGCAGCGCCCCCTAGTGGCTCCCAGAGGCTTATGGAAAACATGGGCGTTGTGACCTGACCCCAGGAAGGCCTTCCCTTATGCCCACTGGTGGCAAGCAGCCTGGGGCAGAAACACCTGGCTGGAGGCGTGGGCGGCTGGTCGGGTCCCAGCTAGCTGCAGCGGCTCCTAAGCGCCAGGGGGCCCCATGCCACAGCGGGGTCTGGGGTGTGGACTCCTGTGGGTCACATCCAGAGGGAGGCTGCCCCCTCCTCCCCTGCTGGGCTCACCTTGGCTGATGAGGTGATCAGCAAGTAGACCACCGAGCAGCCCAATGGGGATGGCCACGAGCCAGGGCACCACATTGAAGATCCAGCCCTAGGGCGGGGCAAGGTCTCAGAGCCAGCTGCACAGCAGTCTCTGCCCACACTGTCCACAAGGGTGGCCGCCACACGGCCCCACACCCAGTGGCTCCAGCCAGGCCACGAGGACATCTGACCCCAGCAGTGGACACGGACACCTCGGGCCATGAGCCCGGCTGCGCCTCAGCTACCCCAGGACAGGCACCAACTCTCCGCTCCCCCCCAGCAGGGGCTGGCCCTCGGGCCCCAACCACAGCCCCCAAAGACTCCCAGGCCCTCCCGGCCCCGTACCTGGGCATGGGGGAAGGTCTCCTGGAAGAAGGCGGGTAGCCAGGAGAGGAGGGTGAAGTAGGAGCATGCTGAGGAGAGCTGGGAAAAGACAACGGCCCTGCGGGCGCCCAGCTCGTGGGCAGCTGGGTCTCAGCCCACCCCGCCCCTGCACCCCACCCAGGCCTCGATCCCGCCCCTGCATCCCCCAACCCAACCCACCCTATTGAGTGCCATCTGGACTCACCACACAGATGGCCTCCGGAAGAGCAGTCTCCAGGGCACCCGGGCTGGTCGAGCGGAGGGTGGGCCTCGCAACAGGAGCCCAGGGGCCAGGCTGTGGTCTGAGGGGGCAGGTTGGGACCAGCGACAGGAGGGTCAGGATCCGGATACCCGAGGGAAGCCCTCAGCCCTTCTGCATCTCTGTGCTCACGTCTCCCGTGTCTGCCGCAGCTCCGTGGGCATCCTCTGAGCTGGACGGCCCAGGGCAGGCAGAGGGCTTGGCCGCCGGGCGCTGCAGGCTGACCCGTCTCTGGTGCGCCCTCGTCCCCCCGGCCTCCCAGCGTTGCGTCCTTGTTTACCTGCTCCATTCAGCAGGTGCCTGTACACGCAGCCTGCCCAGAGCAAGGTGAGGCCGCCCGAGAAGTAGAAGACGCTTTGCCATCCACAGCAGTCCAGCAACAGGGAGCCCACGGCGCCAGTGACCAGTGTCCTGGGAGGGCAGGGCAGGGTGACCGCGCTGTGCCCACAGGTGGGCGTGGATCTGGGGTGCAGGCTGCGGGTGGCGGGTGGCACTGACACCACAGACCCGGACTACACGAGTGCCTGTGTTGTTGCTTACCCTTCTTTACGCATCCCAGAGGAAACTGCAAGGAGCTTGCTCAGTGCAGAGGCGAAACACCAGCCTACAGTCCGCCCCGCCAATCACCCCACTGTCCACCCCGGGTCCTGCTGACTGGCTGGACATCGTCACTCCCACGGTGGACAGAGTGGGCGCACCATGCGTTCCCCATGTGACCCTCATATGACTGCTCCCCATGGTGCTGCTGGCGAGGTGGGGCCCCCAGAGGAGCAGCCAGGCCCCTTGTCTGAACCCGTCCCTGTCATGGTCCCCAGGCACCTGGGGCTGTTTGCCCTCCCTGAGCTTGAACTTGGCAGTCTGTGGGGAGCTGGGACCAGGGCTCCCTGGTGGGGGGAACCTGTGGCAGAGCCCCAGCCTATAGCATCTGCTGCAGCCGCCCACAGAATGGCAGACAAGGACGGACAACATGAGGTCCAGCCCTGAAAGGTGGGACATACCCGCACTGGGTGCCAGAACCCACAGTGCTGTAAGCCAAGGCCCGCTCGCTCTCGCGCACCTTCTGGGCCAGCAGACTGCTCAGCGCCGGGAAGTGGACCCCTGGAATGACAGGGGCAGCACCGCAAGGGGCATGAACCCTGGGAAATGGCAGGGACAGCACTACAGGCCTATCTCCCTGGGGCTGCTCACGCACGCCCACTCAGGCCCTCCCTGCTGAGGCAGCCCACCCCTCACTCCCCCCTCCCCCCTGGGCTGGGGAGAAGCTGAGGTGCATATGAGGTGCAGGCTCCCTGCCCCCTGAGCCTCCCTCTGTCCACCCGACACTGGCCCAGGGCGCTGTGGGAGGACCACGAGGACACCCACACCCTAATGGGTGCCTGATGCCCCAGGGCTCCCTGTGACCGAGCAGCTTCAAGGTCTGCCGTCAGAGCTCGGCATCTCAGCACCCAGGTGAGCTCAGGCAACTCCCAGCCAGGAGTTAGACCCCCTGCGTGCCCCAGCTGGCCCTATATGCAGGCTGCCTGCGCCTGGAGGGGCACACGCATGGACCACCACACACACACAGGCAGGGCAAGGGCACACACGTGAGGAGCCAGCCCGAGACACTCCTTACCTTGGAGCAGGCCCGTGAGGGCCCGAGAGCAGCTCAGGAAGAGCAGGTGGGTGCTGCCCAGGCTGGTGAGCAGTGGTGTGGCGGCCGTGAGGCAGCCCCAGGCGGAGGCCGACAGCACGATGACCCTCTCGCCCCCGAAGCTGGGGGCGACACGAGGAGGACGATCTGGGGCTGGCCACGGGCAGGGCAGCCCACCCACAGCCTCTGCCTGGCCGTCCGCGCAGTGGTCCTGCGGACATAGGCCTGGCCCGGATGGCTTCCACCCCACCCCTCGTTGTAGCAGTGCAGGTCCTCGCCCAGGTGGGGGTGGGCCGCAGGCTCCCTGGGGCCTGGCGGAGGGCAGGGCAGCGTACCGGTCTCCGAGGTGGCCGCCCACGACCTGAGTGAAGCAGTAGCCCCAGAAGAAGCTGCTGAGGGCAAGGCCAGCTTCCTTCTTGTTCCAGCCGAAGTCCTGACTCATGGCAGCCGCGCAGATGGGCAGGCTGCAACGCGCACAATACAGCAAGCAGGTGCCCAGCAGCAGGGTCCCTGTCCACACGTGGCAGTCTGGCCTGCAGGGGGGGAAGCCTAGGTCAGTGTGGGGGCTGTGGCAGCGGGGTGCCCCCTCCCAGCTTTCCATGGGTGCTGGGGCCGCACCCGCTCTTCTACAGGGCAACTTGGCAATGGGCAAAGGTCGGAGCGCACCTGCCCACTGAGTCCTGAAGGATGCAGGCAGGCCTGAAGGCATCCCTGAGTGAGACCAGTGTGCCTGGCAGGATGTGGTGCCTGCGGGGCTTGCCTTGGGGCACCTGGCTGGGCCCCAGGAAGAGGGCATTTGGGAAACCAAGGGAACCTTCCAAGTAACGTGTACCCTATGCCATGGCTGAACCTGTCTGTCGTCCGTGGAGACCAGGGGTGACTAGCCCCGGGACAGCCAGGTGGCACTGACTGCCACGTCCACCCCCGCAGTCAGCACCCCCTCAGCTTCCTCCTTGGCTGTCTGCTCCTGAGCTGGGCAGGAGAGGAAGTCTAGCAGGGCAGGTGGTCCTAGTTGCTCAGGGCTTTGTGAGCTAGTTGAGACCCAGGGCCTAGAACCTTCCAAGGCCAGGTCAGAAAGCCCACAGAGCTGCTGGGCCTGGGGCAGCCCTGGGCGTGGGCAGGCAGCCTGGGCTGGCCAGGGGTGGGGGCGGCATGAGCAGGGACCCAGTTCTCCCTGTAACTGACACCTGGCCGTGACTTGGTCTCCTATAGAGCCACACCTTCCTGCCTTTCCCAGCAGCACCAGGGCAGCAGCGCCCAGCTAGGGTGTCCAGCAGTCAGGGGACCTCAGTGCACAGGCCCAGGGTGGGGTGGGGGCTCATGGCAGTTGGGGGACCCCTGCTCAGACCCTTGTACGGGCAGCTACCACCTAGCCATGGTTTTCAGGAAGTAGCTTGGGAGGGGAAATGACCCCCTGGGCTCTTTCTTCCTCCTGCTTCCCCCACTCCCGCCATGCCAAGGCCAGCGTGCCCCCAGCTACTGCCCTGCGATGCCCCCGGCCGCTGCCCTGCGATGCCCCCGGCCGCTGCCCTGCGATGCCCCCGGCCACTGCCCTGCAATGCCCCCGGCCGTTGCCCTGCGATGCCCCAGCCACTGCCCTGTGATGGCTCCGGCCGCTGTCCTGTGATGGCTCCGGCCGCTGCCCTGCGATGCCCCCGGCTGCTGCTGTGCAGTTTCCCAGCGCTGCCCCTTGCCCGTTGCTCCCACCCGTCCCAGCCAGGCCTCATGGACACGGGGAAGTCCTGGGTCCTCTCTGGGCAGTCCCAGGCAGTGCTTTTGGTGCGGGGTGAGGTGGTGGTGATCCCCCCACATCCAGCTCCACCTGCTCCCTCCCCCAGTGCCCGATTCCTCCACCTGGACCAGTGGGCCTCCTCAGCCATGTCCCTGCGGGCCTCATGCGGGGGCTGCATCAGGGTCCTGACTATTGCCAGCCTGCCTCCGGTTCCGAGCCGCGGGGGCCTTTGGGCAGCGCCGCCCAAGTCCACGTGTCAGTCCCAGCTGCGCTTCCGTCTGGCTCCCAGGAGCTTCGCCCCCATGGCCGCGAGCCGCCGGGGCGTGGCCGGCCAGACGGTCCCGCCCTGCCGCCCGCCCCGCCCGGGCTCCTGGGGCGGCTGACCCCAGGAGCTTCCTGCCGCCCAGGGTGCCTCGCTCCCCGGGGTGCCATAGCGCAGACAGGCGGGCAGACAGGCGGACGGGGTGGCTGCCACCCATGGAGACCCGGCGGGGGCCCAGCCCAGGGCTCTGAGGGTCCCTCTGGAGCCTCGCCCTCCTGGCGTCCAGCTGTAGGGAGGTGCATCTGCAGGCGCTTGCGGCAGTTGGAGGCAGCAGCTGGCTTCCCGCGGATGAACAGCCGCGGGAAAGCGCTGGCCGGGCGGTCCCTGACGCGCAGTGGGCTGCGTTGCTCCGGCTGGCCTGAGCACAACTTTTGAAGGTTCTGAACAGTAGGTGGCCGGGTCACCTTGGGCGTCTTGTCCTGCTTCCCCTGACTCCCTCGACCCAGGTGCTTGGAGTCTCCCATGCTGGCCTCGGAGGGCAGTGCAGCCCACAGGCAACCTGTATGTGCCCTCAGGGGAACCGCACCAGAACCTAGAGACACAGGCAATCTGCTCTGCCTGGGATGATGCGGCTCCACCTCCCGTGTCCTCCCGTGGCCTGGTGGACGGCTGGCCCACCTGGGATGATGCGGCTCCACCTCCCGTGTCCTCCCGTGGCCTGGTGGACGGCTGGCCCACCTGGCCAGCATGACGGCAGTGTTGGGCATGAAGAAAGTGACACGGGCCCGGTGGTGTGGCCTAGCAACTAAAATCTTCGCTTTGAGTGTACCGGGATCCCATATGGGCGCCAGTTCTAATCCCAGCAGCTCCACTTTCCATCCAGCTCCCTGCCTGTGGCCAGGGAAAGCAGTGGAGGACGGCCCAAAGCCTTGGGACCCTGCACCCACGTGGGAGACCTGGAGGAGGCTCCTGGCTCCTGGTTTTGGGTCGGCGCAGCACCGGCCGTTGCGCTCCCTTGGGGAGTGAATCATTGGACGGAAGATCACTGTCTCTCCTCTTCTCTGTATATCTGACTTTCCAACAAAAATGAAATAAATCTTTTAAAAGAAAAAGTGTCACACACCAACTACACACGCAGGATGCCAGCTGCTGCACAGAGGAAATGGCCGTCCATTCACCCCAGCACTCCACCTTGAGGCACATGGCCCTGGAAATTCTGCATAACCAGGCAGCCTAAAGGCTCTCACTGCAACCCTGCTTTAGTTTATTATTTATTTTTATTTTTGAAGTTTTCTTCTTAAAGATTTTTTTTAATTGGAAAGACAGATATGGAGTGAAGAAGAGATGGAAAGATTTTGTATCTGCTGGTTCACTCCCCAAATGGCCGCAACAGCCGGAGCTGAGCCAAAGCCAGGAGCCTCCTCCGGGTTTCCATGTAGGTGCAGGTCCTCAGGCTTTGGGCTGTTCTTGCTGCTTTCCCAGGCCACAAGCGGGGCACTGGATGGGAAGTGGAGCAGCCGGGACATGAACCAGTGTTTGTATGGGCTGCCAACGCTTATATGCAGAGGATTAGCCAATTGAGCTACCAGGCCAGTCCCTTTATTATTTATTTTTTAAATGATTGATGATGGTAACATAGTTGATGAGGGTGGGAAAGGTCAAGGATCAGGGGGTGGTGGGTGAGACCCTGGCATACAATCTTTTTCTTCTTCCCATATGTGGGGGAGAGGGGAATCCAAGAGGAGACCACGCCCTGCCTCCCAACTGTGACTACCCAGGGGACTGGGCACTGCCACCAGATGTCACCCCAGGGTCCCCACTGTGGAGCGCTGAGGTTTCTGCTCAGGTGTTTTCAATAGTTCTGGGATGCTGCTGCTCCCAGGATGAGAACATCCTTCCCGGGTCAATGGCTGCCGCAGCCTGCCTCTGAGTCTCCACTGGCGCAGAAACTTGCTGTCAAGCTTGGCTGGATGGTTGATCGGTTTGTTCTGCCCTCCATCCTCGGCCCAGCCCAGCCCACCACACATACACCTTCATGTACACCAGGGGAGCTGCAGCCCAGAAGGACCCCCAGTCCCCCACTGGACAGGCCCCTCCGCTCTGGTTCCTGTGCCTGCCAGCATGTGCAGTGGACTGGTCCATTCTGCCCCACATCCCATTGAGATCTCGTGTACATCATTGAGCATTGAAGCTCAACTCAACCAAATTGATTCCCACACTCAGGCTAGCGGGTGCCACCGCCACCATCTGTCCAGCCAATCCCACCCTGAGTCCTGGTCTCATGCTCACCAGTGGGAGTTGCAGCCCATCAGAGAGGAGCCGACAACCCCTCCCTTGGGCCCACCCCTCACCCTGGATCTCACACCCCCCGGGGTGGCTTTGTGGTCTAGCTTGACAGGACTTGCCCCTAGTCCTAGCACTTGCCAGCTATGCTGCAGCAAAGCCCATCCTGTTGTGGGCTAAGGAGTTGATTAGTACTGGTTGAACTGGGCAGGAACAGGAACTGGGCTGGTGGCTAAACACACCTAGACTAATTGGACTCATCTGTATCCAATTCCTTGGCTAAATTAGGACTGGGCGAGGAAAGTATATAAGGAGGTGAAGGAGCAATAAAGGGAGACTTGGCAGAGACTTCTACCATCACTGGTCTCCTGTCAGTGCTTCATCCCTAGATCCTCTCCCTGCCCACGTTACTGGCTCTGCTGGTCGGAGCATCTTCCCACCTGCCCTTATTCTGGCTCATGCCTGTGCCAGTGGATACAATCAGTCTCCCCAGCCTGGCTCTCTCCCTAACTTGTTCACATGTAGGCCAATAGGTGTTGTAGCCCTGTGCAGCCCCGTTTCAGCTCTCATGCTTGCCAGTCTGGCATGGCCCAGCAAGGGAGTCCCCACCACTCCCCTGCCAGGTTCAACTCCACATCCCGGTCTCATGTGTGCTGGTGGGTGCTAGGGCCCAGTCTGGCATGGCCCATCTTACCTTGGCATTTGCAGGTGAGTGCTATAGCCTGGCCCAGCCTGGTTTGTTGCCATTCCAGTTGATGCTGGTTGGAGCTACTGCCCAGCTTGGTATGGCCAGCCCCCAGTCCCAGCCCTAATGTGAACTGGCTGGTGATGTGACCTGATCCAGCCTGTCCTGCACCCCATCCTGGTTCTCAGATCTGCCAGTTATGAACTGGTCCAGCCTGGCATGCCCCCAAACCTAAACCACAGGTACGACAGCCGATACAGTAACCTGCTCTGCCCTGGCTGCTCCCGGCCTTGGTTCCTGCGCTCACCTGCACGGACTGCATCCTGACAGAGTGCCCCAACCTCCTCTATTGGGTCTCCTCTCAGTAGCAGATCTTGCGCATACTGGTGGGTCTTTGGCTCAGGCTTGGTCTACCTCCTGTCTTTTAAAAAAAGATTTATTTGTTTATTGGAAAGTCAGATATCCAGAGAGGAGGAGAGATAGAGGGGAAGATCTTCCGTCCGATGATTCACTCCCCAAGTGAGCGCAACGGCTGATGCTATGCCGATCCGAAGCCAGGAGCCAGGAACTTCTTCCAGGTCTCCCACACGGGTGCAGGGTCCCAAAGCTTTGGGCCGTCCTCAACTGTTTTCCCAGGCCACAAGCAGGGAGCTAGATGAGAAGTGGAGCTGCCGGGATTAAAACCAGTGGCCATATGGGATCCTGGCATGTTCAAGGTGAGGACTTTAGCTGCTAGGCCATGTTGCCAGGCCCCAGGCCTGTTCTTAGCCCTAGATCTTTCACATGCCAGTGGTTGCTCTGACCCAGCTCGGCACAGCCCATCCCCAGCTTGCCCCGACTCCCAACTCTCGCTGGTCAGTGCTGCAGCCTGGCCCTGCCCAGTCTGCTCCCATGCACGATTCATGCAAGCCAGTAGGTCGGATAGCCTAGCCAGGCATGCTCTGCATTCCAGCCCGGCTCCTGCACTCGACTCTGGCCCCTTTAATCCCTCTGTATCTCCCTCACATCATCCTGAGCTGATCCGCAGCTAGGAACCAGGAGCTTCTTCCTGTTCTCCCACGTGGGCGCAGGGGCTCAAGGACTGGAGCCGGATCACAAGTGGAGCAGCTGGAACACAAACCAGTGCCCATATGCAATTCAGTGCTTACAAGGTAGCAGGTTAGCCCTTTGATTCATTGTGCCAGCCCTGTTCTTTGAAAGGCGCATCTCAGAGGAGGGAGAGATCTTCCATCTGGTAGTTCACTCCCCAAAGCTCTGCAACATCCTGGACTGAGCCAATCCGCAGCCAGGAGCCAGGAGCTTCCTCAGGGTCTCCACGTGGGTGCAGGGGCCCAAGGAATTGTGCTCCTGGGCCACGAGCAGGCAGCTGCATGGGAAGTGCAACAGCAAGGACATGAACCAGTTTCCTTAGGAGAGGCCACTGCCACAGGTAGCGGAGTAGCTTACTCTGCCCGGCCCTCCCCACTGGCTGAACCTAGATAGCCAGGGCTGGGCCACAACGCCCAGGCTTCCCATGGTGGATAAGCCGCGCCCACAGCCCCGGAGGGGCCTGGCAGTTCTCACACATGCTCATTCTGGGTCCGCTGGGTAGCTTGCAGCTCGCTGCTTTCACTGACACATCTCCCTGTGCCGGCGTAGTCAGCACATCAACTACCTGAAGCTCAAGGTCCCTTCCCTCATGGCTTTGCCTCGGATCTTGGCAAATGCTACTGTGTGAAGACGATCACAGAGGAGGGGGCTCTGCTTCAGTCCCCCTTAACCACAGCACACTGCCACATGCCACACCATGTAACACAGGGGCGGAGCCCGGAACAGGCAGCAGGCGCCTTGCTGAGGTGAAGTCCCAGGCCTCCCCAACACTCCAGAGCCACACGGTGGGCGGCTCTCCTGGCCTGCTCCGGCCTTCCCACCCCAGGCTGGCCCTTCCAGCTGCCTGCCCCCTGCGGCGCGCCTGGCAGCCCTCTCCCTGCTTGCGGCCCAGGACGCCCCAGTCCGAGGGACCCCCTGCCTGAGTGCTGCCATCTCCGCCTCCCACAGCTGGGCAG